GTAGTGGGAGGTCCACACAACATATCGCGTTTACTTCGATATGATGGTTATTATATCAGTATTTGCGTATAAAGGCGTTTCCACCGCCATTTCTCGCATAATTAATTTTACCTACACAAAAATGTCCCACCATGTCGAACGAACAAAATGTCTGTCGACATTTATATGAAATTGTACCGGCATTTCATGTTTCCATCACCCCGGTCGTGACTATTTTCATGCCTCTGGTAATTACGCAGATATTCAAACCAATTTCGTACAAACACTGAATTGACCAGTGTGTAATTAAAGGAAAAGGGGGATACCTAGTCAGTTGTACAACTGAACGCATTCAACTGGAATGTGTCTAAATGACACACTAACAAAATAAAGCCATTTCATATGGAATTACATTCCATATACAGAAAACCGCATGATAAACTAAATAAAATACAATTTTATTGGTCGTGTACACATACAGTATTTTGCAGATGTTATAGCGGGTCTAACGATATGCTTATGTTTCTAGCTCCAACAGTGCAGTAGTGCCTAACAATACAAAACAATACATGCAAATCCCAAAAAATTCAAGACAGAATTTAAGAAATATAGAAATGAACGAGCAAGAGTCCGTAATATAAATATATATGTACAGTGTAATCGGAAAGTATTCTGACCCCTTCCCTTTTTCCACATTTTGTTACATTACAGCCTTATTCTAAAATTGATTAAATAAAACGATTTCCTCATCAATCTAATCACAATACCCCATAATAACAAAACGAAAACAGATTTTTCGAAATGTTTGATAATTTATTAAAAATAAAAAACAGAAATACCTTATTTACATAAGTATTCAGACCCTTTGCTATGAGACTCGAAATTGAGATCAGGTGCATCCTGTTTCCATTGATCATCCTTGAGATGTTTCTACAACTTGATTGGAGTCCACCTGTGGTAAATTCAATTGATTGGACATGATTTGGAAAGGAACACACCTTTCTATATAAGGTCCCACAGTTGACAATGTATGTCAGAGCAAAAACCAAGCCATGAGGTTGAAGGAATTGTCTGTAGAGCTCCGAGACAGAATTGTGTCAAGGCACAGATCTGGGGAAGGGTACCAAAAAATGTCTGCAGCATTGAAGGTCCCCAATAACACAGTGGTCTCCATCATTTTTTAAATTTAATATTTGTACTTTTACCCCTTTTTCGTGATATCCAATTGGTAGTTAGTCTTGTTCCATCGCTGCAACCACCCTACTGACTCAGGAGAGGCGAAGGTTGAGAGCCATGCAACCACCAAAACACGACCCTGCCAAGCTGCACTGCTTCTTGACACACTGCTAGCTTAACCAGCCGCACCAATGTGTCGGAGGAAACACCGTCCAACCGAAGTCAGTTTCCAGGCGCCCGGCCCGCCACAAGGAGTGGCTAGAGCACGATGGGACAAGGAAATCCCAGCCGGTCAAACCCTCCCCTAACCTGGACGACTCTGGGCCAATTGTGCACCGTCTCATGGGTCTCCTGGTCAGGGCCGGCTGTGACACAGCCTGGGATCGAACATTTTACATTTAAGTCATTTAGCAGACGCTCTTATCCAGAGCGACTTACAGTTAGTGAGGGCATACATTTTCATACTGGTCCCCCGTGGGAATCGAACCCACAACCCTGGCGTTGCAAGCGCCATGCTCTACCAACTGAGCTACACTGGGCTGTAGTGATGCCTTAAGCGATGCAGTGCCTTAGACCGCTGCACCACTCGTGAGGCCCGGCCTCCATCATTCTTAAATGGAAGGAGTTTGTAACCACCAAGACTCTTCCTAGAGCTGGCCGCCTGGCCAAACTGAGCAATCAGGGGAGAAGGGCCTTGGTCAGGGAGATGACCAAAAACCTGATGGTCACTCTGACAGAGCTCCAGAGTTCCTATGTGGAGGTGGGAGTACTTTGCTGATAACATGTCCATCTCAAATATGCTGAACCCCTTCTTGAACCTTGCTGAAAGCCAATAAAGGTTGCGAATAAACACAATAAAGGTCATACTTTTCATACGTCTTTTATTTGTCTGCCACAGGAATAGAATATCTTGTAAGTCTGTGAATGATAGCAGAAGAGATAGATGCCTTTAATATTCTTAATTGAACCAGTGACACCAGGAAACAAATAAAACCCGTAGCCCCATCACACAGGCCGATGGAGGAAAATCATTAGTTATGCAAGTCCTTGATTGACAGCAAACAACGGTAATAGAAAATGATAGTGTAAACAAAATATAAATAGAAAATAAGAAAACACTCCATTACTAGTCTACCTTCACTGTAAAAATATTATAGCATGAGAGAACTCCTTGTTACACAACAGGCAAGAACTGTTTCTCTATACCGGCCAAACCCGGGACAATTGTGAGCCGCCCTATGGGACTCCCAATCACGGCCGGTTGTGATACAGCCTGTAATCCAACCAGGGGGTCTGTAGTGACACCTCAAGCACTGAGATGCAGTGCCTTAGACCACTGCGCCACTCAGGAACCCAATGTACGTAATTAAAAGGTGCAGTACTCACGCTGTCCCTTCTGGCAACGAGACTGCAGTACAGCTTACACTCCCCTCCATATGTATTTGGACAGTGAAGCTACAAATAAAAAGGATTGGCTCTATACTCCATCTTGGATTTGAGATCAAATGTTTCATATGAGACAGTACAGAATGTCACCTTTTATTTGAGGGTATTTTCATTCATATCTGTTTAACCGTTTAGAAATGAAAGCACTTTGTATCTAGTCGCCCACATGTAAAGAATTCCTAAGTATTTTGACAAATTCACAGTGTATTAAAGTAGTCAAAGTGTAGTATTTGGTCCCATTTTTCATGCACTCAATGACTACATCAAGCTTGTGACTCTACTAACTCGTTGGATGCATTTGCAGTTTGTTTTAGTTGTGTTATGTTTTGCCCAACTGAATGGTGAATGATGACTGGAGTATTTTTCTTTCTAAGATGTTTCTGAAAACTTTAAATGAATCCTGACAAAACATGAATGAATCGTGGAACAATAATGATGAGTGAGATGCCGTTCAGAGGCTACCTCAAAACATGCTAAACTCTCACCATTACCAATAACAAGGGAGGTTAGCATTTTTTGTGGGGTATGACTTTTATGCCTCTGTAACCTTCTCACTCATCATTATTCATGATTCATTCATGATTATCCATAATCATGGTAGCATCCACATGAATGTAGAAGTGTTCAGAAACATCTTCTATCCTTACTTACTATAAAAGTGACTCCAAAATGGCACAAGACATTATTCACCATTCAAAATGCATCCAACAAGTTTGTAGTCACACTCTTGATATAGTCATTGTGTGCAAGGAATATGGGACCAAATTCTCATCGTTTGACTACTTTAATATACTGTAAGTGAATTTGTCCAAATACTTGACTTCTTCAAATGTGGGGACTATATACACAGTGAAAATATCCTCAAATAAAAGCTGACATTCTGTACTGTTGCCTAATATGAAACATTCTATCTCAAATCTAAAATGCTGGAGTATAGAGCTTCACTGTCCAAATACATATTGAGAGGAGTGTATACAACCATAATTGCTGTAAAAAAATCAAAAATAAAAAAGGCAAAAGAACACTTGCAAAGCTTCTACAAAACTTTCGAGGCAACGCTTCAGTACTCTGATGGCACAAAGTGCTCCCAATTTTCAAGAGCATCCTTCAATTCACTATTGGCTATTTCTGCGGTATTGGCCAAAAAATAAAGTTTAGGAAAAAATGTAGGGAACACTATGTCCATAATAACTGAGTGTACAAAACATTAGGAACACCTGCTCTTTCCATGACAGACTGACCAGGTGAAAGCTATGATCCCTTATTGATGTCACTTGTTAAATCCACTTGTGGATGAATGGGAGGAGACAGGTTAAATAAATAAAAATGTGTTGCCTCGAGACAACTCAATATTAGGAAGGTGTTCTTAATGTTTTGTAAACTCAGTGTATATGTACCAGTATTTTGGCTGCATCTTGCTTGAGAAAATCAGTGATAGAGCAGATCATATAAAACACTGTGCTATAGAACTACTGACTATAACCTAAATTGTTTTCTATAAAATGCTAAGAACACAATTAAAATAAGGGTGAGGAGGTAGGTGTAGGGAAAGAAAGGCAGAGGAACGATGAGCTCACATCATTAAGAAAAAGTCAACTTTTATTGTGTATCGTGGCTTTAGTATTCATTGTCACAGAGAACAGTGAGCAGGAAATTGAAAACTTGCTGGTCTGAGGGAAGGGTGTGTTATTGACCATATTTTCTATGATTCTTTGGATCGCTAGAGCAACCTGATATGACAATGAATGTTAATTTAAACTTCAACAAATAAGCGAAATGTAGTTGTATACACTATGGCAAGCTACAACACAAAGGGGAGTAAGAGAAAACAAGAGGATCTAAGAAATGTTGAGTCTGAACTTAAATCTAAAATGGAAGAGAAAACGGTGCAAGTTGGTAAATTTTTTTCTCATTTTCTGGCATCTTCAGATATTCAAGCTCCCCAGCATCATGCAGGTTAGCGTAGGGCAGTGTTTCCCAACTCCAGTCCTCAAGTACACCCAACAGCACACATTTTTGTTGTAGACCCAGACAAAAACACCTAATTCAACTTGTCAAGAGCTTGATGATTAGTTGACAAGTAGAATCAGGTGTGCTTGTCCGGGGTCACAACAAAAATATGTACTGTTGGGGTACTCGATGACTGGGGCTAGGAAACACTGGCGTAGGGAACGAGACTGATGGTTCTGCGAGCGCTCAGCAAAGGAACACATCTCATTTCAGTTGGAGGCATGTAGCCTATGTGCCTGTATGTCTCTGTGATTGACACCTGGAATCCGGTGTAATTTCTCAAACAGGTATGGAAGATACCGAGGGAAGGTTGGGCATTTAGGTGTCACTGCAAGAGGTCCCCCATCCTCAGCCTTCCTTCATATCCCTCCTGCACACCTCTGGTGTCCTTAGCCGAAATTGTGCAGCGCGAGCCGGAACATGTCATTGGTGCATACCCAGGCATCATTAATGTTCTTCAGGATGAAACTCTGATGAAATCCCATGATGGGGTCCTCATCGGCCTGTAACACAAAGACAGAGCTTAGTGAAGTCACAGTTATATTTCTGTGAATCCAATCCATAGTTGGGTGCATCTCTGACAAGGGTTGATTTTGGCTGAGTCGAAGCGACACAAACTGCTTGCACACAACAAACACATTCCTGTTACTCTACTATCCGTTAACTTATCCGGAGTGGCTGCGTTGCTAAATTCTCTGGATGCCTTTTCCCGATAAGCTAAACAACCGAAGCTTCTGCACATGTGTGGGATTCTCTACTTTACGCACAGTCTGTACTCGTTCGGCTGCCCAGAGAACAGGCTACTCTAGCGAATTTCAGTTATGATGGAGAATGGTGCTTGTTAAATAAATGTTAGATCAAAGCTGAATAAATGTTTGCAAGAGCACATAATGTTAGTATTCTACATAACAGAACAGAATATAATAGCATTGTATAACATTACCGTAAGACAAAAAACACCACCTAATTTGTTATGAGATTTCTGGATGATTTCTCTCTCATGCGGCCAACACAGCACGCGCCATAGGCAAAATATGTGCTTTGATTTGTTAACACAATCTGCTAAAAAAAATTGCTCACTGTACATAATTTAAAACAACACTGTACTTTGAAACACTGTACATAATTAAAGAAGATCTATACTGAACAAAAATATAAACGCAACATGTAAAAAGTGTTTCATGAGCTACAAGAAAGATCCCAGAAATGTTCCATATGTACAAAAAGCTTCTCTCTCTCAAAGCTTGTGCACAAATTTGTTTTGAGGGAGTTTTGAGGGAGTGTGCAATTGGCATGCTGACTGCAGCAATGTCCACCAGAGCTGTTGCCAGAGAATTTTACAGTGTTGCCAGAGAATTTTACAGTGCCCTGCCAAAGTATTCATCCCCCTTGGCGTTTTTCCTATTTTGTTGCATTACAACCTGTAATTTAAATTGATTTTTATTTGGATTTCATGTAATGTACATACACAAAATAGTCCAAATTGGTGAAGTGAAATGAAAAAAATAACTTGTTAAAAAAAATTAAAATAAATAAATAACAGAAAAGTGGTGCATGCATATGTATTCACCCCCTTTGCTATGAAGCCCCTAAATAAGATTTGGTGCAACCAATTACCTTCAGAAGTCACATAATTAGTTAAATAAAGTCCACCTGTGTGCAATCTAAGTGTCACATGATCTGTCACATGATCTCAGTATATATACACCTGTTCTGAAAGGCCCCAGAGTCTGCAACACCACTAAGCAAGGGGCACCACCAAGCAAGCGGCACCATGAAGACCAAGAAGCTCTCCAAACAGGTCAGGGACAAAGTTGTGGAGAAGTACAGATCAGGGTTGGGTTATAAAAAAATATCTGACACTTTGAACATCCCACGGAGCACCATTAAATCCATTATTAAAAAATTGAAAGAATATGGCACCACAACAGACCTGCCAAGAGAGGGCCGCCCACCAAAACTCACGGACCAGGCAAGGAGGGCATTAATCAGAGAGGCAACAAAGAGACCAAAGATAACCCTGAAGGAGCTGCAAAGCTCCACAGCGGAGATTGGAGTATCTGTCCATAGGACCACTTTAAGCCATACACTCCACAGAGCTGGGCTTTACGGAAGAGTGGCCAGAAAAAAGCCATTGCTTAAAGAGAAAAATAAGCAAATATTTGGTGTTCGCCAAAAGGCATGTGGGAGACTCCCCAAATATATGGAAGAAGGTACTCTGGTCAGATGAGACTAAAATTGAGCTTTTTGCCATCAAGGAAAACGCTATGTCTGGCACAAACCCAACACCTCTCATCACCCCGAGAACACCATCCCCACAGTGAAGCATGGTGGTGGCAGCATCATGCTGTGGAGATGTTTTTCATCGGCAGGGACTGGGAAACTGGTCAGAATTGAAGGAATGATGGATGGCGCTAAATATAGGGACATTTTTGAGGGAAACCTGTTTCAATCTTCCAGAGATTTGAGACTGGGACGGAGGTTCCCCTTCCAGCAGGACAATGACCCTAAGCATACTGTTAAAGCAACACTCGATTGGTTTAAGGGGAAACATTTAAATATCTTGGAATGGCCTAGTCAAAGCCCAGACCTCAATCCAATTGACAATCTGTGGTATGACTTAAAGATTGCTGTACACCAGCGGAACCCATCCAACTTGAAGGAGCTGGAGCAGTTTTGCCTTGAATAATGGGCAAAAATCCCAGTGGCTAGATGTGCCAAGCTTATAGAGACATACCCCAAGAGACTTGCAGTTGTAATTGCTGCAAAAGGTGGCTCTTCAAAGTATTGACTTTGGAGGGGTGAATAGTTATGCACGCTCAAGTTTTTTTCCACAAAAAAACATATTTTGTGGTAGGCATGTTGTGTAAATCAAATGATATAAACCCCCCCAAAATCTATTTTAATTCCAGGTTGTAAGGCAACAAAATAGGAAAAATGCCAAGGGGGGTAACTACTTTCGCAAGCCACTGTATGTTCATTTCTCTCCCATAAGGCGCCCCCAACGTCGTTTTAGAGAATTTGGCATTACGTCCAACCGGCCTCACAACTGCAGACAACGTGTAACCACACCAGCCCAGGACCTCCACATCTGGCTTCTTCACCTGCGGGATCGTCTGAGACCAGCCACCCGGACAGCTGATGAAACTGTGGGTTTGCACAACCAAATAATTTTTGCACAAACTGTCAGAAACCATCTTAGGGAAGCTTATCTGCATGCTCGTCGTCCTCACCAGGGTCTTGACCTGACGGCAGTTCAGCGTCGTAACCGATTTCAGTGGGCAAATGCTCACCTTCGATGGCCACTGGCACGCATCACCTCATGTTTCAGCATGATAATGCACGGCCCCATGTCGCAAGGATCTGTACACAATTCCTGGAAGCTGAAAATGTCCCAGTTCTTCCATGGCCTGCATTCTCACCAGACATGTCACCCATTAAGCATGTTTGGGATGCTCTGGATTGACGTGTATGACAGCGTGTTCCAGTTCTCGCCAATATCCAGCAACTTCGCACAGCCATTGAAGAGGAGTTGGATAACATTCCACAGGCCACAAGTAACAGCCTGATCAACTCTATGCGAAGGAGATGTGTCACGCTTCATGAGCTAAATAGTGGTCACACCAGATACTGACTGGTTTTCTGATCCACACCCCCCTTTTTTTAAAGGCATCTGTGACCAAACAGATGCATATCTGTATTCCCAGTCATGTGAAATCCATAGATTAGGGCCCCATTCATTTATTTTGATTGACTGATTTCCTTATATGAACGGTAACTCAGTAAAATCTTCGAAATTGTTGCATGTTGCGTTTATTATTTGTTCAGTGTAAATGCATATTCCCATGAAACTGATTTGAGGTCAAATGGTTGGCATGGACGTTTCACCGTTAAAATTGAAGAATTATCATTCACAATTTACAGTGAGAAATGTGAAGGGAGGGTGAGCACAAAAATGTGTCCGTAAAGTTGAGGTAAAGAAACACATGCGCAGAACGTGATACACTTTTTTTTTCTCTGGGGAGGAGGCTTCCAGGGCGAAGGGACGGGGGCGGGACAGGGCGGTTACAGTCAGTCTTGCAGTTAGCCTCAGCCTAACTTATACAATCACAATGCTTGTGACAAACCCCAATTCCTGATCAGGCTATTCCAGTCAAACAGAGCACAAGCAGGTTTGAACAAGCACTAATGGAGATAGAGCCACAGACAAAAAGCATGTCATCCCTTTAGGTGTCAGTGGAGACTAGGCTTACATAACTCCGTAAGGTTTACTGCTCAGTGATCATGATGGCATTGGCTCCTTCAAATGATACGTTAGTGTTCTAAAAAGCTTCTAACAATCAGCAGCTTACAAGTTTAAGGTCCACAGTGAAGATGAGAGCTAGCATATAATGCCATTATTGTGGCTGAGACTAGTTCCGTTAATTGGTCAATACTGAATGATTACCAGTCAAACAAGCCAGCCTTCACTATGATCTAGGTTCAGATTCAACAAACAAACCACATGGTTGTCCCAGTTTATAGGGCATTTCCCCCCCATCATTTGGTGAGTACATTTATTTTTTAAATCCCTGAACACACTGTGGTCTCTCATAATCAAACTCCAGTATGAAGAAATCCCTCTATGGCGTGAGATTAGTAAAAGCCCAACTGAACCATGGTCAGTCAGAACACAGATCCTTACTGACAGTAAGTAGGGAGAAGATGGGGCATAAGACCACAGGCAGGTCAAGGGTTGTGCTGGGCAAGCCTGAAGAACTCATTGGTGCAAACCCAGGCATTGCTGTAATTGTTCAGCAAAAACGTATACTAGAAGCCCAGGACCTGGTCATCATCTGCCTGAGAGACAGACACATAATATACAATAACCCTGACATCTAAAGTACTTACCTCACACACAAACATACCCTTGTTTTTATAACATAGGAAGGCCTGGTCCATGGCCTCTTCTATGTGCTCAGGCAGATTAATAACAGCATAGCTATTTATATCAATTTAGTGAACAAATGGCTTGAATCTGTGGTGAAGCTGAAAACAGATGTACCTAGCTGTGCTTTTAACAATGCAGTTTGATCAAACAGACAGAACCGAGACTCTTCGTTTATAGCAGGTGGGGATGTCTAGCATGTAAATGATTCAGTTGTTGGTTTAAGAAACTGGCAATATACATTTACATTTTAGTCATTTAGCAGACGCTCTTATCCAGAGCGACTTACAGTTAGTGAGTGCATACATTTTAGTTTTAGTTTTTCATACTGGCCCCCCGTGGGAATCGAACCCACAACCCTGGCGTTGCAAGCGCCATGCTCTACCAACTGAGTTACAGTGATAGAATGTGATAGAATGAGAAATACTTACTTTTAGTTGTCCTACTACCATACTCATTATGCAGCTGTCAGGGGTGGGCTGGTGGTCTTGTGCTGTTATACTGTGAGCAATTTTTAAGAAGGGGAGAGTCTGAAAATAAGAAACAAGACAGATGTATCAGAGACAAGCACATTCCACCAGGATGTCTCCTGGATATCCTGTTCAATCAGTACACTCCTGACATACTATTGAGGCATTCCATTTTGTCATGCTCAGGTATAATATTTTATAATAGCACTCACAGAAAGTTTCTCGACAATCGCTGCCTTTCCCTGGAATTGCTGTCCTTCCCACGTAAGGCATGATGCATCAATCTGTTAAAAGGAAAAGCAGAGGATTGAGTTCGTCAGCAGAAGGCACATTGGTGGTATATTTACGCTGGAAGGATGTGAGGTTTGTGCAATTCTCCTTGTATCTAAAAATGTAAATTGTGGGTGATTCTCATGAAATCAGTTTTTACCATGGTAGCAACAAATTGAGTTAGAACACCATAATGCATATGCAACAGTCAACTATCATTCTGAAGACTATGATACCTTGTTTATGGCACAGTGTCTTATTTTAAATACATTTTACATTTTCACCTGAATTTTGTACATTTTCACCCAAAATTCTCATTACCGAAATGCTTCTGGATTAAATTCTCATGTCATTTCATAACATTTTATTTGAGAAAAACCTAACTTATCTGAATAAAACACAAAATACAGTGCTGTAGTTTGTCCATAAATGATAAAAATGTTATACCATTTGAAGTTTACATTAAACTTTAATATGTATTACATAAAAACACAGTCTGTGGACATCTTTCTCATTACCGTAACACAGAGTTTCTGTAAAAACTCAAAAATGTTCTTTAATAAAGTTGTATTCACCCATGATACATAATCTAGAGTAGTCAGATGAGCACGAGTTCATTTAATTTCTTCACTTAAATGCCGGAACGAGGATTTTAATCTCAAACACCCCCTTTACAACACTTGACCTTCTCATTACCGAAATGACTAAAAAGCTCAAATTGGGAAAAACTTAAGATAACCATTACCTTACCAACATGAAGACATGAATGGGCTTTAGTGATGTGGTCAGTTGTTTGCGGACTCATAATGGCGGTCTCCTTTTACTTGCAAATTGAACTAAGGGCCTCTCATTACTAAAACACACATCTCATTAGCACATAATTTGTAGGTCCGTTTCAGTAATGAGAACCTTAATTTCGGTAATGATAATAAGCTAATTCTAATGTATAGTCAATGGGTGCTCTGTGCTGGTAACTTTTATTATTTACTAGGACCACTGCTTACAGCTATTGTATAGATTTTTTTGTAAAACATAAATTATTTGATTAAGTAGGAGTTAAGAAATATGGGTGTATAAACAATATTTAATTTACTTAAAGCCACAATCTGGAGTTTGTGTTCCAGCAAAGACCAACCCCCCCACTAAAAGGAGGATATCCACCATTTTACCATGTGTACATGTTGTAGCACTTACCTACACTGTTGTTTGATATCTCAAGACAGTTTTTGCTCCATATCCCACATATTTCGATATATGATAGCAGGGGTGAAAGTAGAATTCATTTCTTCCCGGTACGGACCTCCTATATGTGCACTTTTTTTATGGGCCTAATCATAGAATTACATATAGGAATTCCCTATCAATTCAATAGGATCTCTGTGGGCGTAGTCGTAAAGATTTGTCATTTAACTTTGAAAATGTATTACCTTTTATTGTGGCATAAACACAACCAGTCATGATGTTTCATCTGTTTGTCAAACAATCACTTCAAAGGGCTCCTTTACTAGGCTACCTGCGCACGTTCATCCACTCGCAACATATTTCCATCCTCCAAACAGTGGTGAATGGAAAGAGGCATCTGTTACACAAAACATAAAAGTGTCATGATATTGACGATTGTCATTAGGCCAGAATTTACGCGTCCACTTCTGTCCACGCATGTCTCTGTGTCGGCCCCTCATCTCTGCCTTGGCATAATTTCTGTGTAACTTTTCATCTAACCACATCGCATTTTGGAGCGTAGGCTATAGGCCTACCACCAGTTTTCATGTCCATTGCCTCTGACATGCAGTAACGATAAAAAGTGGTGTAATAGCCTAGTTTCCTTGACATTTTGTTTTCATTACTGTAATAGGCTCATGTTTTACCGGTACAGCGTACCCCCACTATTTATTTTGCTGGGACGCCGTACCGCCTTACTTTCTCCCCTGCTTTACAGGCCTATCATGTTATTCCATTTGTCCATAGGATGCCATTCAATTTAGAAATAACCACACATTCCACGTCCTAATATACCAAAATTACCTGTAAAGACATTGGAGAAATTACCTTTTCTAAAAATTAAAAAAAACATTTTTATGCTTAAGTACACTTTTGACAAGACATGCACGTAATTTCAGTACTTATACTTATGCTACAATATGGGGTATTTTAGTCAATCGCATTAAGATCAGTGATTTTAGTATTATGCAAGTCATTTGGGCTTAACAAATGACACAGTTTGATGATGTATTGGGTTACTGATTCTCTATTAGAGCTCAGTATAGTTTTTCAATGGCAAACTATGCAACAGTCATTACCGAAACATGCATTCTCATCTCTGAAACCTGCTTATCATTACCATAACGCACCAATATTTAGGAAATAGATTTTTAAAAACACATACTTTAGTAATTTTGGCTTAATCTGAGTGTGCCTTTTGTTCTTTATCCAAATATGTGTACATAAAAATAACATGTATACACAAGCAATTATGACAAAAAACTATATTCAGAAAAGGTTGTTGCAGGAATGAGAAATTACAAAATAATTGTTTATAATTTAATTTTAAATAAACTAGTTCAGTGTTATGTTTAACACTGGCCTTTTCATTAGGAGAGCAATGTGGGAAAAAAAAGACTTGTTCAACACTTTTTTGGCCTACGGAAACTATATTTTGCATTGGTAATTGTGGAATTTGTGGTAAAATCAGAGGTGAAAGTAAAGCAGTACGGTCCAGTACGGCATCCCGGCAAAAGAAATACTGGGGGTACCGGTAAAACATGAGTTTATCACAATAATATATCTATTTTTTATTATAAAAAAATAGGCTATTACACCACTATTTATCATTACCGCATGTCAGAGGCAGGAAACATTTGCGAATGAAAACGGGTGGTATAGCCTACGCTCCAAATGTGATGTGGTTTGACGAGAACACTGACATTTTGCCAAGGCAGAGATGAGTGGCCTATACCGAGACGAGCGTGGACGCATCAATTCTGGACTAATGACAATCGGCAAATATCATTACACTTTTTTTTACATTTACTTTTTGGATTTTAATTTTGGGTTACAAAAAATGACTAAATCACCAAGAATTCAGCTAAAAATAAGTTTAATTTAGGAAGTCTATTCGCAAGTATTGTGTCGTGATCGTGTCTCAACGTAATCAAGGTATGAAATTATTCTACTTGAAAATAACACTCTCTTTTTGGGCTTACTTGTAGTAAATTTGTAGTATACAAATTATAATTATTTTCCTACAAATGTGTGAATGGACTTAAACGGGTGGTATAGCCTACATTCCAAAATGCGATGTGGTTTGACGAGAACACTGACATTTTGCCAAGGCAGAGACGAGTGGCTGACTAAGAGGTGAGCATGGACAGCAGTGGACACATCAATTCTGGCCTAATGACAATCGCCAATGTCATTAAACTTTTTGGTGTTTTGTGTAACAGATGTCTCTTTCCATTCACCACTGTTTGGAGGCTGGAAATACATTGCGAGTGGATGAACGTGCGCAGGTAGCTTAGTAAAGGAGCCCTTTGAAGTGATTGTTTGATAATCAGATGAAAACATCATGACTGGTTGTGTTTATGCCACAATAAAAGGTCATACAATTTAAAAGTTAAATGACAAATATTTACGACTAGGCCCACAGAGATCCTATTGAATTAGTAGGGATTCTATATGTACGTTGCTAAAGTTAGCTAGCTTGGTTAAAATTGTGGTACTGCGGTCCCATACCGGGAAGAAATAAAATCTACTTTCACCCATGGGTAAAATGCATAATATCTGATCAAATACATAACAATATTTATGAAATAGATAACTACAGATCCTAATCTTAGTGATTCAAGAAGAATTATGGAGAAAAATGGTTTATTTTGTGTCACGTTTTTTTTGTTAAGTGCCAGTTTCATGAGAATCACCCTGCTACCAATAGGGGGCACACAAACAACACATTTTATCAAGAATGCTCACTAAGCAGAATGTAAAGACTTGCTTGTTCTCAAGATTGATAAATGGACATTACAATTATTTGAACAGCTTAAAATATGTTACTATATGCTGTCTATTACACATCTTATTGAAATATATTATGCTTTAGCTTGTAAGTGTCCAAGTAGTATGCATATTTGCATGTCCTCCACAGTCTAACTTGATGCTTCAGACCCTGTTTCTTTGGCCCAAAAAGTTCCTCAGATGAATGCTTGTCAAAACTTGTTTGATCTAGCATCAGTCTCTGAAAGACATAAACCAAGTAAAGGTTTGAACAGTTACATTGAAATAAGGCAAGACTATGGTACATGTATTGATTCAACAATCTTTACTTTGGTTAGTGATTTGGATAGAATTATCAGGGAGCATTCGCTCACAAGACTGGAGATATGATGCACTACTTTTCTATTTGAAAAACAAATGAACATTACATTAACAAATATTTAATTCATTGTTGAAAATAATTACTGAATGAGTTATTACAGATGCAGAAGAGGTGGATAGACAGTTGAAGGTGGAATAATGGGGCATTCATGTGCTCGTAGGAACTGGGAAACTGGGATGTCGTAAGTCCGACATGATTGTGTTCTAGTGCTGTTAAAGTCGGACCAATTCTTCAACCAACAAGATTTTAGCTAGCTTGACAAGGTAGCTAACGTTGCTAATAATAAAGTTAGCTAGCTTGGTTAACATTGACAATATGGTCAAACTAGCTACATTATCCACATTGATACGTTTGTAATGGTCAAAAATGGATTTGTTGTCATCTTTTGGTTGAAAGGTGAAATGTCACAACTTGGGTAACAACATTTTCTCAGTTTCCCACTTGTAATGCCCACTTGGGAGGGTCGTTCAAGTGAAACTTCCCATTCCGAACTCCAGACTTCTGATAACTCCGACAGCACGTGAACGGCCCATAAATGCAAGGAGGTGACAACAGGACACACAGGACAGAGTAACTATGATTCATATTCATTGATACAGATTCACATTCTGAGACTCACATATATTGCTCCAAGCTGGGTCCTGTCAGTGTCAAAGAGCTGGTAGTAATGTTGCACAAAGCTGGATCCTATCTGTTCCCAAATCGGCTTTTCCCCCATTCTGAATCACCTGGCAACAAGCACTAGTGGAAGAGACAATCTTATGAGTATAGATGATCCTACGATATAAACTCAACTCAAGAAATCTGGTCAAGAAAGACCAGGTAGAGCAGGGGTTGGCAACAGGCGCCTGCAAGTGATTTAAAAGTGTATTTATTTTATTTGAAAGAGACTAAAATCACCAGGAATTCAGCTAAAAATGAGTTTAATTTAGGAAGTCTATTCCCAAGTATCCCCATTGTCTTTCAATGTAGTCAAGGTATGAAATGATTATTTTCAAATACAATCTCTTTTTAGGCTTAGTTGTGGTCAATTTGCAGTATACAAATTATTATAATTATTTCCCCCCCGACCATTCGCTCTCCTGACAAAAAATCAGCCAGCGGCTGGATCTAGTTGCCTACCCCTCAGGTACATACTGTAGGAGGGAAAAAATTAAGAGTGCACATACAACTGTCCCATATCTGCCCTACCCTGCAGACATTTACGTCATTTAGCAGACACTCTTATCCAGAGCGACTTACAGTAGTGAGTACATACATTTTCATATTTGTTTGTACTGGTCCCCCGTGGGAATCGAACACATAACCCTGGCGTTGCAAGTGCCATGCTCTACCAACTGAGCCACACAGGACGCAGGTTATGCAAAGAACGTATGTAGGAAATACCTTTTGGAATTCAGTGCTTCAACAATACATTCACAGCACCAAGAACACTGTACATGCGCTCCTAAAGAAAAATAGTGTATTCTTTGGGTATTTATCAGAAAACAGACAGCTGATAAGAGTATGCTTCATTGGCAGACCAAGCAAACTATGCACACTGTACATTTGAACAACTTATCAAATACTGTACCATCAAGGGCACTTGTTTAGCTACAGTTACACCCAGATGATGGCGTTCTTACCTATCCTGACCATACTAGTTAACGTTAGCTGGTCTTGTTTTGATAAGTGGGACATCAATGACACAGCGCGTGTCATGTGCCTCCCCCCACGCACGATAACTTTATACGAGGCTTGCATACCAAAGTTATTCACATTAACCTAGCAAATACTAATTTATAAATCATGCTTCTCGGACTATAATGACAAAATGTTATATCCAATCGTTTGACATTTCAAAGATAAATGAACTAGCTCAGTTAGTTACCGAGTTATACCAACTAACTACTAGTAGCTAACTTTTCCTGTGATACTAGTCAGCTGAATTCTAAATGGACAGCTAGCTACTTCACACAGTCCGCTTAATACGTGAGTTGAGTGAGAATATCATGATGAGCAATGTTGTCGGACTCTTTTGGCTGAACTCGCCAACCAACCTGTCTAACTCACGGGTTATAGTTACCCTGCTAAACTCAACGATTTACGATGGAGTTGAGCGGCGACTACTGCGGGCAGACTGGAGCTCCAACGTCACATACAACTATTGATTTCAGCACCCAAATAGCCCGTAATTACACAGAACAATGTGGTGTGTAATTGCGGGCTATTCTTTGGGTGCTGAAATAAGTAGTTTTTGATTTAAACGTCATTGAATGTGACGTTGGAGCGCGAGTTCGCGCACACTAGTCAACGATTTACGACTGAGTTGAGCGGCGAGTTTAATAGACTAGGGTCATAGTTAGCTAGCTAGCATAGGCAAGGCTAATAGCAAAGATCAAACGTTGGTTGATTGTCTGGCTAGCTAGATGTCCTGTATTGCTTAGCTAATAAAATATAATCACGGGTCTAGCAAATAAAAACAGTGAAGCTAGATATACAAATTGAATGGCACGTGGTTTCGGCTGCTAAAAATACCGTACTCTACCCTGGCTACATTTTAAAGCCTTTATTTAGACTGGGCCCAGACAGAACATAGGCGTGTCCTAGTTAGCACTTTTGGCGAGCCAGCGCCTGTCAAATAAAGGTATATCAACTAATTCAGTCTGAAACATAATACGATACTGTAATTGCCAGAAGACAAAAACATTTTCATTCAATATATCAGGATTCGCTTTAGACAAACAACTTACCACGAACTCAAAACCGTGCCCCGGCTCCCAGTTATTCTTCTTCTTCTTCTTCTTCAGTGGGGTTTATCGGCGGTTGGCATCCAACGTTATGGTGCATTACCGCCACCTACCGTACTGGAGTGTGGGCCAGAGACGGGGATAAACGAAATCCTACCTGCCAACCCAGTTTCTCTTAAAAAAGACAACAAAATATGTGATACTATATCTAATGACGTTCTACTCAATATACTCTTTAAACTAATTTCCTGTATCCCCTTCTCCCTCATAATTAATCTCATCCTCTCTCTTTCCCTCTGATACTGCCCACATTTTTATTTATTTTATTTTTATTTCACCTTTATTTAACCAGGTAAGCCAGTTGAGAACAAGTTCTCATTTACAACTGCGACCTGGCCAAGATAAAGCAAAGCAGTGCAATAAAAACAACAACACAGAGTTACATATGGGGTAAAACAAAACATAAAGTCAAAAATACAACAGAAAATATATATACAGTGTGTGCAAATGTAGCAAGTTATGGAGGTAAGGCAATAAATAGGCCATAGTGCAAAATAATTACAATTAGTATTAACACTGGAATGATAGATGTGCAAGAGATGATGTGCAAATAGAGATACTGGGGTGCAAATGAGCAAAATAAATAACAATATGGGGATGAGGTAGTTGGGTGGGCTAATTTCAGATAGGCTGTGTACAGGTGCAGTGATCAGTAAGGTGCTCTGACAACTGATGCTTAAAGTTAGTGAGGGAGATAAGAGTCTCCAGCTTCAGAGATTTTTGCAATTCGTTCCAGTCATTGGCAGCAGAGAACTGGAAGGAATGGCGGCCAAAGGAGGTGTTGGCTTTGGGGATGACCAGAGAGATATACCTGCTGGAGCGCATACTACGGGTGGGTGTTGCTATGGTGACCAATGAGCTAAAATAAGGCAGAGATTTGCCTAGCAGTGATTTATAGATGGCCTGGAGCCAGTGGGTTTGGCAACGAATATATAGTGAGGACCAGCCAACAAGAGTGTACAGGTCACAGTGGTGGGTAGTATATGGGGCTTTGGTGACAAAACGGACGGCACTGTGATAGACTACATCCAATTTGCTGAGTAGAGTGTTGGAGGCTATTTTGTAAATGACATCGCCGAAGTCAAGGATCGGTAGGATAGTCAGTTTTACGAGGGCATGTTTGGCAGCATGAGTGAAGGAGGCTTTGTTGCGAAATAGGAAGCCGATTCTAGATTTAACTTTGGATTGGAGATGCTTAATGTGAGTCTGGAAGGAGAGTTTACAGTCTAACCAGACACCTAGGTATTTGTAGTTGTCCACATACTCTAGGTCAGACCCGTCGAGAGTAGTGATTCTAGTCGGGTGGGCGGGTGCCAGCAGCGTTCGATTGAAGAGCATGCATTTAGTTTTCCTAGTGTTTAAGCGCAGTTGGAGGCTACTGAAGGAGTGTTGTATGTACATGCTCCACAGTCTCGATTTCCTGACAAGAATCAAATTTTCCTGATGGATGCTTTCCTATCACGCTTAGTGTCTTATTCAACTGGCTGTGTCCCACCCTTAATCTTGTAAATATAGCTTCCTCTCTTCTGTCCCTTCCTGCCATCCTCCCCTCCCCGAGTTTCCTCTGTACTTGAAATAAATGCCTTCCCTTAATATTTATATTCCACTGCTCCTGCCATCTCTGCACCATCACTGTTTATATCAGTCTTTTTGCCTCTGCCTTGCTCATTGACACTTCAACATCCACATCCCCACTACTAAGTGCTTGTTTAGCCTGTTCATCTACTGCCTCGTTCCCCTCCACCCCCACATGGGCTGGAACCCAAGTAAATCTTATCTGAATACCCATCTGTTTAATCCTGCCATGGGTTTGTAGCACCTCATAAAGCAGGTCTTGTCTGCTACGTGAGCTAAAGGACTGGAGACTCATTAACACTGCGCATGAGTCAGAGCAAATAACTACTCTGTCTGGCTTAGCTTCCTCCACCCACTGCAAGGCCAACAGTATGGCCATCAGCTCCGCCGTATATACAGCCAGATGATCTGAAATACGTTTCCTGACTTCCACCCCACATAACTGCACTACAAATGCTGACCCAGTACGTCCTGTCCTTGGATCTTTTGAACCATCTGTGTAAATGGCCACAAAATCCTGATACACAGTTTCCAGACGTCTCTTAAAGAAATCAGCTGGATCAACACCCTCCCTATCTTTCTGTAGTCTCTCCAACACTTCTAGATCAACTACTGGAGGCGGGAGTAACCATGGTGGATTTACAGGAATAACTACCGTTAGACTAAACTCCCTTCCATACAGCCCCATCTCCTTCGCCTGGGTATTACCCATCCACCCAAAGCTTGTGTTCTGTCTTCGCTCATGTTCCCAGCATGCCTGTAAAATCCCTTTCGCAGGATGAGACACCCCATGTCCCTGTAGGTTGACCCAATAATTCATTGCCAGCTGCTGTCTCCTAATCTGCAATGGCATATCCCCCATCTCCACCTGTAATGCAGCCACTGGGGACGTTCGAAACGCCCCACTACATATTCTGAGTCCTTGCCCCTGTATGACATCTAGCCTTTCCAGTGAGGTCCAGGCTGCCGAACCATATGCTATACTGCCATAGTCTATTACAGATCGGATCAATGCAACATACATGGTCTTCAATGAGGAACGCCCAGCCCCCCACTCCTTCCTCGTCAGACAGCGCATCACATTTAGCACCTTCTTATACTTTCCCACCACTCTCTCAATGTGTTCTGCCCAGGTCAGTCTAGTATCAAAGTATACCCCAAGGAACCTGAAGGCCCCCACCCTCTCCAGGTTTCTCCCATATAACCTCAAGCATACCTCATCTCCCACCTTCCTCCTAGTAAAGAACACTGTTTGAGTTTTCTCTACAGAGAACCTGAAGCCCCACATTAGTGCCCACCGCTCTACCTCATCAATTGCTTCCTGCACCTTCCTGACTATGTATGGCACATTTCT